CTCCCACACACACACACCCTGTGTATAGGAATCTTCTTTCAGCCTCCTCTATATGCATTGATATACGTGTCTGTTAGCTGTAAACCAGCATGGACACCATGCAGACAGATGGTCAGCCTTTCGTTTATCCATCTTTAATAACGTCTGAGGTATATAACATGGACACGTATATATGCATTGATATATGTGCATTCAATGGCTGACCCGTGTCCATGCAGATGGACAGGGGTGTTCCCTGTTGTATTTTGTCATTCAATGCCAAGCTTGGTTTGACCATGAGAGCACCATTTTGGTTTGGTAGGGTCCGACGGCTGGTAGCGTATAGCGACTGAGGTGGAGAGGGACCATTTGCTGAAAGAAGTGGTGTTAATGTGGCTTTCTGCACATTGCTGATATTGAGTTCTTTTCTGTGAAGACGGCCTGGGTTGCTCAGGGGCTTGACTGCGCTCGTCTATTATTTCATTTTATGGTATTCATAATTTCATATATTGCTAGTTACAATTTGTCCTCACTGGATGCCTTGCCTTAATAAGCAATATCCGGAACCTTCGTCCGGGGAAAGCGAAATTATGCCAAATCTTAGGACGTGCGCACGCTAGAGACTTTTTTAAAGTTTTTTTTTTTTTTTTTACCACAAACACACTCACCGCATCTACTCTGGGGCCCACCAATCCAGTTACTCTTAACCGACAAGCTGAGAGTCTGGTGCACACAAGGAACTCTTGCCATTGCTCTCTGGACATGACTGGACTCTGGAGTCCAAAACATCGAGAGAAAGAGTGAGTGCCATACGTAATCGCCCCTCAGACGAAGATGATGGCGATTACAGTTGCTCACTGATCCATTGTCTACTTACTTTCACAAGCTCTCTCTGGCGAGTGGCCTCTACCATCATGTATGTTACTGTAATGTACAGTAACATGAACTTGGCCAGGACCAACATTGAAAGGTCGCTCTCGCGGGAATCGCAGTAAGATACACCTGAAAAGTCCTCGTGTGAGTAAGCACTTAGCCGAAGCTGCCGAAATCCATCTTTAGTTACTGTGCGATTGACATCGTCACTGCAACTGCTGGTTCAGAGTGCTCTGGCGATCGTTCGGCTCCAATGTGTCTTGTCTAGTCCTAAAACTTGATGACAGCTGGTTTGAATGAAATAGGCAGTCGAGGGACAGTTTTGATCACATATACATGGCTTATCGATGTAGTGGAGCGCCACCCGAAGTATAGTTGTGTTTTTGCTCAGCGCATACGGATCACAAGTGATTAACAGGGACTCCCACTTTCAGCTCCTGAGTAACAGGTCCAAAACTGAAATCAGGGTTTGGGGGT